TTAAATGAAGAAAGAAAATCCCTATTAGGCAACTTCATTTTTTTTTGTTTGACTTAAAGGTGAAATCTAAAACCCAATTCTCCACTTGCACTGGTTTTATATTTGTCCCATTGACTTCAGTGGAATTAGTCCTAATGTACACTGGTATGAGAAAAACTGGATCACTGAGGTCTCATTATTTCAGACTGTAACCAATGACCTGTTAGAGCTTTTAATTCTCTGGCTAGAAGGATGCTGTAAAGGTTGAGAGGTTGTTCATTGCACAGACAGGAAGATGAGATAAGACAAAGCAAAAATAAAGTGCTTCAGACTATTTCATTCCAGGGGGCTTGTCCTCACAGGCCACAGGGGATTGCCTTGCATTTCCATTAAGACACCATGTTCTTGGAATTGCATTTTCTAGACTTTTTTTCTGGAGTGCTAAGAGAGCTCGCTGACAGTGCCCAGATTCACAACATACTCCTGACGGTGATCAGGATTAGTTCTTAGTCTCTGCCAGCATCCTTTTCCTCTCCTCATCCCTTTTATTTTAACAAATAGGGAGAATAACCATGTTTTTAAATCAAGTGGCTTCTCTGTGGAAGAAATTAATGGTGAGCAAAGAAAGAGCAAGTAAGCACTGACAGGAACACATAGACATTCAGTTAGAGCATCCTTTTTTCCATTTGCAGTTTACCGTACAGCCTAATAAAGACTCTGGAACAAAAAGCAGTTTGGTATATTACATATCTATATATCAAGTACAGCTGGCTTGCTCAATCTCAGTGATAGCAGGCAGCAGCTCTTGGTTCTGTGCTTGGCCATAATGGGAGAAGCACTACCTCTTCTTCTTCCCCTACCATTCCTCTGGAGCAGGCTCTCGCTTTCCCAAAGGACACAAACTGCCCCACACCACTACCACTCTATGGCTTGGAGGCCATCAGTGGTACACATATCACCACTAGCAATCTCTGTTTCAGTCCATTTCCACCTTTGTGCACCATAGTGCTTATGTCCACCATGCTCTGTTGCACCATGTATTTCTCTTCAGAGTCTCATCCTACTCCGTCTCACCCTCTTGTGGCTTTCAGATACTCCTGACAAAATCTTACTTGTTTTTTGTCTCTGATTCTGCCTGGCCAAAGATAGGTTGCTTTATCTGATCTACCTGTTTCCTACATGTGCAATTCAGCCCTGCCCTCCTCCCCTGGCAGATTTGATCATCTGCCCAGACCTTTTCCTTCTGTCTCCTTACAAACCATTTGCAGGTAGCTTGGAATGTTACTGCTCTAATTTGACAGTGTTTCGTGCTTACTGTGCTCAGGTCTGAGGCAGCACAGACTACATCTAACTTCAATAGCATGTGTTTAGACTTCTAACTATTCACTGAAATCAATAACAGGAGCCCAAATAGGAATTCAAAGCCTAAATGTTTCATTGGCAATGAGCTTTGGTCCTATAACAGTACTCTGAATGAACTTAACCTTCCTTAATCCTTCCAGCAAGCCAATGTTTGTCCTTTCACCATGGACTGCAAACAAAGAGTTTGCATTTACAAATGATCCATCTTGCAGGAAAAAAAAAATCCCTCTGAGCTCCTGAGTTCTCTAACACAAAGCATTAGTACCTTTGCTGAGGGGGTAAAACCTCAGTCTTGATTGAGAAAACTGAACAAAAAAGCATTTGATCTGATTGACACAGCTATTCTGGTTGAATTGGGTAGTATGTTTAATCAATAAACTTTGTCCTTTAGAATACTAATGCTTATCTTGTAGTTGCTGCTTCTCAAAATACTGTTTGCTATGGAATTATTACTTTAATATGATGGACAAATATCTGACTCCATCAAGAAAGCCTGAAAGTCACAGGGTGTTAACAGTGGGGCTGTTCTTTGGGAGCCCAGGTAGGGTAGCTTATAGATAATCACTCCATCCTTCATTTCTTAGCATATCTGTTAAATACGTTATAATTTCTTGTAAATGGTGTTTCAAGTGGCCACAGATTTCTAGTGTGCTAGTATATAGTGAGTATGGTTACCATGGACTCTCATTTGGAGGTCTCAAAGTACAGTCCAGTAAGCAGTCATCCTGTTTCAGTTTAGTGAGTTTTACTTAATGTCACTAGTTATGGAAAACTGACCTCTTCATGCACTTTTCAGACATTAATGAAGATTGATGGATGTATTAGAATACTAAAAGACAAATTGGGTTACATCTTTTTGATCAGTGCCTCTCAGCTCAATAACATCCTTCCACAGAAAAACTAAGTTGTAGGAGGTATAAACTTTTACATTATCATTGGAAATAGAGCTACTATGTCTGGATCATCCCTCTAAACCTCCACAGACACTTACTGAAACATAATTATTTAGGATGGAGGCGTTGGTGTTAATACGCTACTGGATTTGGAGTAGGTTGTTGAAACTTCAACGAGTCCTTAGTCGTGTTTCATTTAAAATCAATCACGATGAGTAGTTAGTGGTGCAAGTCATGAAAAAAATTTAGTCTTTATTCTGGGAAGTTGGGCAATAATTTAACCATTATTCTGCCAAGAGATACACCTTTGTTTAAACAGCTAGATAGTTAGAAAAAATTGGTATTCCTTTTTTTTTTTTTTTAAACACACCCTGGAAAAACAAACAGCTTTGAACAAGATATGGAAGCTACAGAAATATAACATTATGTTTGTCTTGGCTGGTTATTGCTGCATTCATGAATATTTTTCCTACCTATTTTTAAATGAATAATGCTAGTGTGGTTTCTCAACATATACCAATTATGATTTTGAAAGGCTTTAGACATTTACTGAATATTTTAGGTAATTTAAAAGGGCTTTCTTTTACTTACTGACAAAGGTTAGTACCATTTACATAATTATAAAGAAAAAATTCTCAAAATATATTTGAGGTGATCCGATTCTTAAAATACAGAGTTTGGAAAACAACTATGAATTTGGCTAATTTTTAATAGCCTGTGAAGAAGGTAGTGGAATATTTTAATAAAGAGAAAATTGTAGTAATTCATAATTATTTACAGTTCATGTGGGGAAGCAATGAAAGTATTGTATTTGTTCATAATAAAGTTATTACCTACTTCACATGCAGCCCTTGTGGAATTGAGTATTTCTCAATAGTATTAGATTAGAAACAACTGTTTCAACATAAACAAGAAAGCGTTCAATAAAATCAATTTATAAGTACTATATTCTTTAAAAATATTCACCAGTCTTGGTTCAAAAGAAATAATGTCTAGAGAATACATGCATCTATACGCACTGTGGGTGCCCCCTAGGAATTTTTATATCTGTTACTCAATTTGAAAAAGAAAAATTGACGAGGAGTGGCAGTCTCAAAAATAATGTATGCTTTTATGCTTCAGGAAAGAGAGGTGGCTGAGTAAAAGAAATATGTTAATATTGGCACCTCTAATGAGAGAAAGATGGCAATATTATTGAAAAACACCTAAGATTCCACAGAGAAGAAGGATATTAGGAATATTTCAGCTGCAGTGCAAGCCTTAATCAGATAAAATAAAGCTTCATTACTCCTACTGCTCCTGAAACTATTTTATTTTATTTTTAAATATATATATTTGTTTCTATGCACAGATTCTGGGAGGTCTGGAGTCGTAAGCTCTGAAGAGAGACTAGAATCAGGATGTGAAGGAAGGGGCTGTTTTCTACCTAGGGACCTTGCCTCCAACAAAAGCCTTATCTTATTTCTCTGCTGTGTCACCATGGCATGGTGCATGTGCTCTGCCTGCCTTGCTGTCAAGCTGCAGCACAGTGGATGGAAAGTGTTCATTTATTGCCTAGACAAGCTCTAAGGGGCTCTGTGGCAACTTGCACTTTTACTGAGAAAATGCCACATGCGGGGCTAAGTTCATTTGTACTCAAACTCCATTAAAGCTAGTGGGCTTTCCCAGGGGATGAAGATGGTTCCTTGAAGCTGGGTGGAAATGAAAGAAGACATCACTTAGGGGAGCCGAGATATGACTGAAATGAAATACAAAACTGTTTATTCCTAGGTCAGGAGATGGTTTTCTTTTTTCAGCTTATCTTGGCCTGGAAAGAATTTTATAGCATGGGATATCCACACCCTTATCTAGGCTAGATAATAAACTATGCACTAGGATGCATATACTTACAGACTGTGCGGCTTCCACTTCCTCCAGCCCATTGCTTCAATCTCACTCTTGCTAATATGTCTATTGGTTAAAAACAGCAGTACTTTTTCCTAGCTTTTCTTGCCCTAGCTGAGAAAAAAACCCCAAAACTAATGCTTTATTGGTTCTCAAGCTAAACTCGGTAGTGATGTGTGTGTTAATAATTAACTGAAACGTATTTTACAGCTAAGCCTAGACACACACCTACTGTTCCCCCCCACCAGGCTGACGGAGGCAGCATCTCATAGAATCACAGAACCACAGAATGATTTGGGTTGGAAGGGACCAGCAAAGATCATTCTGTCCAACCCCCCTGTCACCGGTAGGGACATTTTTCACTATATTGGATTGCACAAATCCCCACCCAACCTGGCCTTGAACACTTCCAGGGATGGGGCATCCTCAATTTCTTAGGCAATCTGTTCCAGTGTCTCGCCATCCGCACTGTAAAAAATTTTTTCCATATGTACAATATAACTCTACTCTCTTTCAGTTTAAAACCATTGCCCATTGGTCTATCACTACAGGTAAAAAGTCCATCCTCATATTTCTTACAAGCCACCTTTCAGTATTTGGAAGGTTGCTATGAGGTCTCCCCAGAGCCTTCTATTCTCCAGGCTGAATAGTCCCAACTCTACCAGCCTGTCTTCATAGGAGAGGTGCTCCAACCCTCTGAGAATCTTTGTGGCCTCCTCTGGACTCACTCCAGCAGGTCGCTCTCCCGCGGAGGGGAGTCGCCCCCGCGAAGCCCGTTACCGTCCCCTGGTGGCAGGTGCGGGGGCAGGTGCGGGGTACTCACCCCGCCGCCGCCGCCGCCGCCCCCTCCCGGCCGGGCAGGGCGCGGGGCGGGGCCGGGGCGGGCCGGCTCCGCTCCCCGCCCTCAGCCGCGGCGGGGTCCGGCTTCTTTGTGCCTTCCGCTCGGGCACCGCGTCGTCCTCCGCCTCGCCTCGACCTCGACCTCGGCTGTCGGCGGGGACTGGCGGGTCAGCCCGCCCTCGCCCTGCCGCGGAGCTTCCCCGCCTCCTCCCCGCCCTGCCGGCGCTCTACCCCGCCTCGTCAGTCTGCCCCCGGCGTGGGCTGCTCGTCGCCCCTTCCCCCGGGCTGCCCGTCATCCCGCCGTGCGCGCCACTGCCCGGAGCTCCCCCGCCGTCGGGGATGGCGGGGCTGGCAGTGCCCGTGCGCGCCTGAGCCCGAGCGGCGAACCCGCCGCCGCCGCGGGAGGAGGAGAAGGAGGAGGAGGAGGAGGAGGAGAGATGAAGCGCTTCCAGCCTGGGGTCGCGCTTCTGCTCTCGCTGCTGTGGGAGGTGAGATGGGCCGGGGAGGGGGCGCTTCCCTGCGGCAGCCCTGGGTTCACTCCGGGGGGATCCGCTGTCGGTCTCTGCTTGGAGCTGAGCGGCCGGCGGGGGGAGGCTGCAGCCCGCACCCAACCGGGGGGATGTGCGGGGGAGATGATTTATTTTGTGGTTAATGCCTTTGCCGGAGAGGGGTGGCTCTACGGGCTCTCGGGCAGTGTGCGGTCAGCAGTGCGTGGGAACGGCGGGGAGGTGCGGGCTGGGCTGGACGAGACCCGGCGGGGCTGCGCTGCCCGCGGGGGCTGCGGTGCGGTGGTTTACGGGCTTAGCGGCGGCCGGGCTCACCTCCTGTCCAGTGTCTTATTGCGGGATCAGAGGAAGATTATCCGCGGTGTGATGGAGCAGAGTAGCGCGGGAACCGTAGGCAGGGGCACAGGCTGCTGGAACCTGCCCGTTCCCAACAGGCTGGCTGACTCTCCAAGGGTTTGAGAAAAGTGCATCTCTTGTTTTCATTTTAAGTGTCCTTTAGTGGGCAAAGTGTCCATTGCGAGGTAGATAAGAGGTGCGGCGGCATCAGCTCAGGAGGAGCCGTGGCGGCACTGAGCAGCGTGGTTAAACTTCCAGGAAAGCCTGGGTAGCGCAGCTTGTCGTAGTAACAACAAAAAAGGAATTAGGATCTTTCATTAACTGGAGTAGGTATTTGTCCCACGCAGTTACAGAATCATAGAATAGTTCGGGTTGGAAGAGACAAAGATCATTTAGTTTCAACTTCCTTATCATGGGCAGTGATGCCACTCACTAGATCACGGGATTGTGGAAACCAGCTCTTTTTTTTCAGCAGGCAGATCCACAGATGTTTTCTGGTGGCGAGCTATCACTTGGTCTTTGGTTTAACCTTGGGGCTGGGGTCAGGCTGGGTGGCCACCCTGGGACAGGTTCATGGCGGGCACCCTGCCATGTGCAGCTCCCGGTGACAGCGTGCTGGAGTCATCGCCAGGACATGTGCGGTGGCAGCGTGCAGGGGTGACTTCGGAAGCACCAGTGGGCTTGTCTTAGGTACATCTCTACATTTATAAAGCCCAGAGGTGGTGTAGCTAAAAACGTCAGAGGTGGAGAGCTGTGTTGCCTCTGTGATGGAGCAGTTTAGACAGAAAATGAAATATTTCTTTTTAAAAAACAGCATACCACCAACCCCATACATGGAAACCAGAGTGCTGGCTGTGTAATTACTGCTTTCAGTAATGAATATAATTCATGAAAATTATGTTTACTACATGTTTATGCCACCTACGTAGATGAATGATTTCTGATGTGTTGCCCACTATGTCATCCAGCATCGTCCCATTAAAACACTCAGATCAAAATCACCACTTAATGTAAATAAATGTAACTCTTTACAAGTTAATTGGTCTGCATCTCGTTACCCCGGCTGTAAACCTGGCCCTGATTCTGGTCCACAATTGCTCTTGACTCTGCAGAAGCTCTTCAGAAAGCAGGAATAGCAAAATGTCAATTAAATGAAACGAATTTCCCTGAGCGATTCTGTTCATCTGAGACTGTGAAAGGTTTCGCCCCTCCAGGATCTGTTTGATTAGATGTCTCTGGTCTCTTAATGTGTATTCTGCTGAAAAAGATCCTTAGTGCCTGAAAAAAGTAATTTGCATAAATCCTCTTTGGATGTAGCCAATGTTGCTGTTATTTAAGCTTTTGTACTGGTTTTAATTGTGGGGTTGTTTCCTTTTAATCTAGAATGTTTGTTTTGCCATCTGGTTTTGTGAATTTTTTTTTTTTTGGAAATGCTTAGGATGCCTATTAAAATGAGATGTTATATAAATAAAGTTGTATTCTACAGGAAAAAAAGGCCCAGAAACAGGGTGTTGGGGGTTTAAATAACTTAAACAGAGACATCTGGTTGTTTTGAAGGTTTTTAATATATGAAACTTTCACTGTCTTCTGTACAAAATTCTGTCCTGGATATTATCTGAAATAGCGTTGCTGCAATTGTTTTAAATCTATTTGCAGCTTCAATATGATCTTGGTTATTATTGAACAAAGCATGAGCTGAGGAATATGTTTTTCGTTCATCATTTTGCAAAAAGCTTTGACTGTTACCTAAATACTATGAAGAGGAAGCCATTTAGTCCTTCAGAGCAATTTGCAAGTTAACTGATTCTAACCAAGTTTTCCTTGGTTAAATGACACAAAATACATGTTGCAAGATGTTCTGCATGCAAAAACACTGTTTCTGGTTATATTGATAAAGGAATAAACTGCTTCACAAGTAAGCATACATTAAATTCATGGTGGGTGTGAGTTTGGTTGTGGCGAGCATGTGTGTTTGTGGCTTTCAGGTTGAAGCCTAGTCGGTAGCTGACTGTGCCAGATTCCCACGAGGAAGTGATGGTTTGCTGTTCCTGGTTTAAAAGCAGAAGGTTCAAAAGAAAGACTGAGGGGCAGGGGAAGGCACTTGCCATGTGCTGGTGGGTTAGTTTCACAAAGGTGACTAAAGGCATTGCTATCGAAGCAGCATTTACATGTAAGAAATTGCTGGCTCTTGATGGTAGGGTGCCAGTCCTTTCTCTAGAAGAGCTTGAGATACACTAATTACAGAAACACTCAGAGCACTGGTGGTAGGAGAGGGTAATTAATTTTGAGTTTTCTGGTTTGATGAGGGTTTTTCACTGTAAGCACAAAGATCGTGATGGAAGAAAAATCTCCAGCCCCAGCTTCCAGGAAACTGCTCTGAGAAGACCTTGTTGGGGGAGAAAAGCCAAAGATGCCATGGGTTTTGCTCACAACATAATTGCAGTTGAACAGTTTAACGAGGAAGCCAAAATGAGGTGGATAACTTGACAGGTAATTTTGGTTCCTGCAGGAAGAAATGAAGACTGTTGAATCTTTATCTGTCATTTTCAAGTTAATTTGGCTACTTGGAGGTAGCAGTGTGTTATTAACTGCAGTTGCTTGAAATGCCCTTTTCCACACGGAGCCTGGATGTCTGGTATGCCAGTGGTACCACGTTATGTGATTTCAGCATTCACAAATAACCAGTGGTCTTGCTAGCACGGCTTTTGGTTCCATCAAGAGGACTGTGTTTTGTCTCAGTGGCTCTCAGTTTTATGGAAAACTTTGAGGAGGTCCTTAAAGTGATGTCTGTTTTGAGTATATATATCAAGATTTTCTGCTTCTCTTTTATTGGTGATCCCAAGGGCTTTGGCTGTCTGAGCTTAAATGTGACTTTAATGAATAGTGATATCTTTGGAATGGGAAAAAATAAAACTAAGCAGGCAGTCCCCCCACCCCCTTGACGATGAAGCGAGCTTATTTTCAGCCAGAATGAGGGCATCAGAGTGTCTCTGTGGGGCTTACTTCTCAGACTGAGTACTTGCTTTCTCTCCTACCAGCTGCAGAAGTGCTGGATGGAGGAGAGCTCAGTGGCTGAGACTCAGCTCAAGGATGTGGAAGCTGAATGGAGCTGTTTCAACCCAACAGAGGACCCTGTCTGTGCTGCAGTGGTAATAAAGGTGTTTTATTGTTACTGCTGCAGAGTAGCTTGCTGGGTAGCCTCAACTTCCAAAATAATTTCGGTACCTAAGCCTCTGGTTGGCCCATATGTTGTGTCTAGAGGAATCTAGGAGCAAGTGCAACTGAATATTTAAGTCAAGCTTTTTAATGCTCTCGATTAAGATAAGCTGACACCTACAGTAGTCACTGTAGGAGGTGTGAGCTGTGGGTGAGAATCCCTCCGCAAAGGTTTCCACCTGGCTGTCCAAAATCGAGAATATCACTTTTGGATATAGTGGCATTGATATTTCTTCACACTGAGTTTCTCATTACTGAGAATTCTAGTGTGGATGCTGATGGAAACTGATAATTGGATGATTGAAAAAAGTGATCAGATTAGTCCTTTTCTTATTAATTTGTCAGATGAAAGATAATGCATAAGAGCCGAGTGCCTTTTTTAAAAGATTAAGAGAATGGACATGTCATAGGAACAGCAAAGTGTGTTATCTTGAAGGAAAATTCAAATACTCCCGACAGTCTGTCATACAAGATTTGTTTAAATAAAAGCAAAGTTGGCTGGTGGTTCTCAGTTGGGTAACTGATGTGTTGAGCTTTTTAGTATTGTTTTTGTAAGTGGACTTCAATAGGACAGATTTTATCAAATCAGAGAAACCTAAAATTTCTGTCCTTCCTGAGGAGGTTTGTGTTAGGTTTGTTTGTGGTTTTTGTTTGTTGTTTGTTTTTATAAATCCTTGTAGGAACAAAAACATTAAGATAAGCAAACTTACCATTCTTGAAGAAAAGACCCACACATTTTGATCATAGTAGGCACAGGCAGAGTTGAAAAAGTTGTGAGGATTATGGGGACCACCCCGCCCACTGCATCTCCTGTTTCTGGCATTTTTTTCTATCCATTAGCGGTTGGGTTTTCCTTTATATATATATGTGTTATAAGAATGTATGTACCCTTGAATGTATGAATGTGCGTGCACACCATGGTTGTTGTCTCTATGATGTCCCTCTCTGTGGAAGCCCACTGATACTGTCCTATTGATGTTTTAACTCTTGTGGGTGTTGTGTCAGTGGGGGTTGGGAAAGAATAAGGGGAGAAGTCTATCCCAAAAATTCTGCAAGAGAATTGTTGATGTAAATGTGTCCTCCAACCCTTTCCTGCTTCTTGGTTTTAGCTACATAATGCACTTAGCAGCTTAAACAATTTTTGGTGTTTTTTTTCCTTACCGTCCTCTAGCTGGTTGCAAAGGAGCTCCTGCATTGTTGAGTGAAGGCAGGAAAGAACTTACTTATGATTTATAGTTTGAGGATCCAACTGGTGCTGGCAAGTCTTCCCTGTCTCTTGACAGCAGGGAGATGGGCTGTGATTTCCCAGCGGGAGGACTGAGCTTGCACACTTTTCTCACTTTGCTCCTGCTGAGGAGGAGACAAATTCGTGTTCACTGTGGGAAGGGAATGGTGGCTGAGTGCCATTTACATTCTCTAAGGGGAGATGCAAATAGCTGTGAGATGCAGTGGGTTTTTTTGGGCTTAGTTGTTTTTTGTTTTGTTTTTGTTTGTTTGTTTGTTTGTTTGTTTAAATTAGAAAAAGCATCTATAAAATCTGTTTATATTTTTACAGCAGTCAAAAATATTTATCACTTTCCGTTATGCTATCTCCATAAAAGGGAAGTCTTCTGACTCTCTTTTCTCTTGGTACTTTCCACTCAGCTAATGAAGATGGCTGAAAGGATGTGTTAAACTTGACCAAAGCAAACCTTTAGACTTCAGGTGCTCTTTTAAAGTGGGCTTAGCTAAAGTCAGTGAAAAATGGCTGAATGGAAACTTTGGTTTAATACAAATTTATTTTTGTTTACTCCACTAGAAAGAGTCTTAGGAAAACTGGAATGAGTATGCCCATGTATAGGCTTGCTGTGGTCATCTGTCTAGGCTGAGTTTACAGGCAGGAACAGATTAATGCTTGAGTGTATGCTACAGAATTTAAAGCAAAAATTTGTATCTTGCTGGGACTTCAAATTTGTTGTGATATAAAGTAAAATCCCTATGAAAAATCATTACAGAAATCTAGCACGTTTTACATTTTGGGTCTAATTTTCGAAGATGCTGTGTTGCTTTGTATCCTCAACAATGCAGGTGTTTCCAGAGTTTGTTTTGCTGGAGTTTTTGTTGAAATCTTGTTAGTTTGTTATGGCAAATATAAACTCTCTTTAGACTAGCAGGAGGCAAAGCCTTTTGAAAACAATTGTGTTTTCTTTGCCTGAATAGTGCTTTTTGGAAAACGAATCTTAGGTCTGTCTGAAGTCTGGTGACACAGCCTGGGACCTTGGGCATTAAATAGCACTTTCAGGACAAGGGAGAGCTAAGGTCTTAAATAACGGACATTATCACTTTCTCGATATCAGTATGGTAATATATGAGATGGAATGCCATGCCTGGTATTTCAGGAGGGTGTGAGATGGGGGTCTGGGTTTGTTGAATGCTTTTTTTCCTTTTTGAGAACAGTGTATCTTGACAGGTGTCTCACATATTAAGTGAAAGAGTTTAACTGGTGAGTTAAAAATGTCTTTCTTCTCAAATGTGTCTTCAGCTTCGTGCTAAATAGTTGTTAACTGAACCTGTGTTTTAAATAGCTCAGCTAAAAAATCTCTTCCTCTTTCTCAATGACTCAGCTTTCAGTCTGGTAAATTTTTAAAAGGAAAGGAATTGACAAGAAGTGGTTTCTAACCTGTATCTCATCCAGTGAAGGCACAGGTTATTGCTGGCAAGCGTAGTCTCTAATGCATTGTTTTATGATTTCCCCAGGTCTAGTGACCATGCAGCCACAAAAGGATTGTATCAACCCACTGATGCTATGAATGATTAAGCCACCAAAAAGAGAATGGTGGGGGGGAAAGCATGAGGCAATAGTTTTCCATTGGTTCAGCAGGGGTTTGTGCCATGGTTGTAGTATCATGAAACTTGCTGCAAGAGAAGAGGGGGAATGTATGGCTTGGAGCAGGACTGTTCATTTTGGTAGCACACTTCTTATTTCAATACATTTGGTGTTTCCTAATGGAAACCATAAAATCCTCTTGTTTGGAAAAGACCTTTAAGATCATTAAGTCCAGTGGTAAACTTAACACAGCCACATCCACTGCTAAGCTGTGTCCCTGGACAAATCAAAGGCAATCATGCAGACCTTTGCCATACTCTGCTAGAAGGGAAAACTAGCAGAGTCTGATTTCCCTCACCCTCCCCCCCCCCCCGAAAGATGCCATTAGATGAGATTAACTTTTCCAGATGATGTCCTATCATTTTCCCAAATTGCTTGCCAAGTGTCTGTCGGAGCAGAAGTGCTTAACCAGGAGCTAATGACATCCCCAGCCTTTCCCATCTGTGGGGTGGGAGGGGGTCATGGCTGGAGACTGTCCTTCTGAAGAAGGTCCAGCATCAGTTGCAGCGTGGGAGGGTCCATTGTGCTCCAGTTCAGCCAGTGGGAAACTGCAAACACAGCAATCTTCTGCTGTACACTTCACTCCATCACTCTTGTTTGGAGGTCTGAAAGAAAAAACCTTGTCCTTTCAGTGGAAGTGACTGTGAAGTGATCTGGGCCTTAGTTTCAAATTTCAATGGCAATGGGAAATGGCCATTTGTGAAGGCTGATGAAGAGGGTTGGTGGGAGTGTGCCTATACTCCAGCCCTGGCTGCACTCGAGCCCTCTGTAAGCAGCTCATCCTTTCCAGCTGGAGTAGGAATGATGGTATGCCAGATGGCTTGGTCTCTCACCTCTGAAATTGATAGGCATCATGCAACTAAATAGCTGGCAATAGTTTTGAGGATGGATCCTTCCTTCTCAGGTCTTGTGCTGGTGGAATTAGAAGTGAGGATCATGGACCCCAAGTATGCAGCCAGTACCTCAACAAATCTGTCTTTCTAAGGCAATTCCATTTAATGTTTTCTTTATGCCTTTCTAGTTACATGCATTCCAGTCCATTTGGATCTTCCCTTAGAGCATGAAGAACTGGAGAACCTTGAAATGAAATTAATATGAGAGGAATGTGGACATGTGGGAAGGTGGCAAGAATCTCACTGACAGCAGACTGAAGACCATGGGCAGTGTGTGTTATACTTGATGTGAGAGGGGCGTTTTGTTGCACTGTTCATCCTCTTGGGGCTCAATGGCTCTGCCACCCAAGGGAAGATGATGCTTTTGTAGACCTACTCTGCTTAGCTTGGTCTTGCCAGCGGTGACAGGCTTGTGCCACTTTATGGTTAAGACCAGATAGTGTGCCTGTGATTTTTTTTTTTTTTGGCTGGCACAGTTGTGTCTTTCTGCATGCATGTCTGTGGATGTAGGTAGACCAACAAAATTATTTTGTGTGTCCTGGTCTGAGTCTTTTTGGGCAAGAGACTCTCCCTGTCTAACCAGAGAAGTCTGGGTGTTTATACATTGCTGGTTTTAGTACAGTCCCTTTAGTGTCAACACAACAGATTGATATTCAACTGTGCAGTCCCATTTAGGTATGACAACAGACAGTGTAAAGGGTCTGTACCTTGGGAATTGCTCAGGTTTAACTCAGTGTGTTATTTCTCCCAATATCATTAAATCTCTTCACTGAAGTGGATAGAAAACCTGTAAACATAGTAAATTCCTTTCTGCTTTCCTCATGATATATCTGTAAATGTGGAAAGTCAGAGCAGGCACTTCTCACGGTAGTGGAAGTGTAGTGACTGTGTGCTTCAGCTTTTGATGCAAGAACCAGGCAAGGATGAGTCAAGCAAGTATTTTCTTTCATTTCTGCTCCCTGGGGAGAAAAATGCATTGCTTATCGCTGCAGATAATTATCTCAATACTGGTGTGAGATCCAGGAATTCACTGCTGGCTCTCTTACAGTGTGAGTTCCCAGCTCAGGGCCCTACCTCCCTGCTGCATTTGGAGCCAGGGGTTTAACCCAGTACAGGAAGGGTAACGGGTATAAAAGTTCATGTTCATTTGTTCAACTGTCATTAAGTTTGGCAG